CCGACGACTTTGTAATTAATTTGATTTAATTGGCATCGTTAGCGCTCGTTCATATCAAAGCTAATACCTAGACGACATGTCTGGTCGATTAATCTGTTGAAATAACGAAGCTTATACCTCCAGATAGTATTTTATCCTTTAATAAATGAACGTTTCACGTAAAACGATAATAAGAAGAATGTAGTATTAATGTGTAATTATAAATTTGCAAATTTATCGATTTTGTACATATGCTTCATTACAATGTCTCTCCGAATAATTAAGTATAATCAAGTAAGAAAATACTGTGATTGATCAATGTTTTATGTAACCCAAGCCAGTACCTTTTTGTGCGGTTCTATTAGCACAAATTAAATAGTGAAACTTTGAAATAGGTCGTATCGGCTTTTAACGTGTACATTAGCAAAACAAATTTCTTTATTACAGGCTAACGCAACAGGCGGTCCATTTGCAACCTAATGTTTTATTAGAAGAAGGTTTTTGATCTAGTGTTTCTGTTCTGCAGATTTAAGATAACTTAATAGTGAATATATAACTAATAACTATATGAAAATTACTTTCGCACACAATCGTATATAATGTTCCTTTACTATAATAAAGTGCAATTATTATTTTATACTTAATTCTTTCATTTAAAAATAGAGAAAAATAAAACTCAGTAACAAGTTTTAAAACAAACTTATTAAAAAGACATTACAAAAGATATAACATACTTTAAATATTAAATAATTTACAATCTGTGTTTCATAACTAAGTACATTTTAATAAGATGCAAATAAGAAAAATAAGAAAATCTTTCATACAATTAGAATAGAAATTCACAAGTACAAAGTTTTATAATGTTAACGAGTTAACAAGTTCTTTAATAAATAATTAATCCTTTCGAAATAATTCGTAAATTGAAAAAAAATATACATCCCCCTTTTCATTTTACCTCTTATTCTTATTTCTTACTGTTTGTTAAATTTGCCGGAAGAAAGAACATTATACATATAATGTATAATAAAAATACTAAATTAATACTGATATTGTTGTATTTTCAACAATTTATATTAGACTTTTCATTAGTTGTACTATGTTTATAACCTTCAATATTTTACTGGATGTTTTATTGAATAAATTTATTAATTACAAGTGTGCAAGTCTGGACAATTAGAGTATTTAACCTCGTAAACTTATATATCGGTTGCAATATTTGTGTCTCAATAAAAATCAATATTAATTATAGATATTCGATACATGTAGCTATATAAAATGTATACATACTACAACCGTTTATTATGCCGCAGTCACCTGAAAAATTTAAATTTATTAATATGTAATTGAATGATGATAATTATAGAGTCTTCACAATATTATATTTCAGTAAAAAGTAGTATGAAAAATTTATAATTGTGACATTATTTGAAATTTTCAATGTTAAGTGTATTTAAAATGTTTATTAATTATATTTGTATTATAATCGATCTTTCATATCAAAAGTGAAAAAACTCAAAAAGTTTCCCAGAAAAGGCGAAAAAGTAATTTTTAATTTGGCAGAAAATTATTGACTGATCAAATATCGACAACAAGAATATTGGTATTCTTAATATGATTAGTTCACTTTGATGATTGATATGATAATGTTTATCTAAGTTATTTATGTAAAAACTCGAAAATTATGTTTTTTAAGTTGTATCACTTTTGAAATAAGGAAATAATATCTTATTAACTATTATATAAATTTATATTAAAAGAAAAAGCTCAATACTTACAATTGCAAAACCATCCATATGGCGATCTTTTACAAAGATTACAGTTGATGTGTGCATGGGAATGTTGATATGTACAAGAATGTAATAAAACAAAACGAAAGAAATTAATTAAGGAGTATTATTAAGAACTATTGTTGATTATAAAAATGTTTTTCTTTGTTTCGAATTAATTAATATCTAAAGTAAGACAATTAATTACTCTAAGTCCGCATTATTCTTTCTCTTCTTGTATGACCTATTCATTGTCTTATGCATTAATTCAATTAATCGTTTTATATACTAGAATTATATAATTCGCATATATCAGACAATTCAATAATTAATTAATCGGATTGTAAAACTTAAAATTCGGTAATGCACATGTATTATCAGATGCACTGAGAAAATGTATTAAATTTTAATAAACATTTATAGTATCAACTAAATTTAGAGTAAATAAATATGTATTCGATAAAAGAAATGATAGTTGAATCAAATTAATAGTTTCTTATACCAAATATAAATAGGTATATTTTTATATTTAGTAAATATTTAGTTGGTATTATTCAAACAAATGATTCAGTATATTTCGTTGAATGTGAATATTAGCTTTCGTAGATCTAAAATCTAAACCAATGTATATAAATCTCGTATTATTGATACACAACATTCAAAAAGCAGTCATGTACTTAACATGATAATTATTGCCGTGTATTTCACGTACACTTCTTGTATGTGTTCATTACACTTTTACTGTCATTATAATAATTATTTAAAAATGCTAATTATAAATGAAGCAATTAAATTTTGACTGGCTAATACTGTAAAAACCAATAAAAATTTAAAGACTAAAAGCTGAAAAAGGCAGTTTAAAATGCAGAGGGAAATAATTGACAATATGATCTATCTATTTGGTAAATGGTGAAAGGTATACGAATAGACACGAATGAGTTTTAAATACTGATGCTTTATTTTATATAAAGTATTGTATAAATGTATAAACGCTATAAATATGTGGTATCTATCTATGGTGGTGGTGGGGTGCTAGTCGTGATCGCAAAGAAAGGGTATGACGAGGGCGGGCGGGGTCGGGGGCCGGCGACGGCGAGCCATCTATTTACATTCATTCACTCATGAGAAAGGCTGACCTACCATAATCTACCGGTCTCTCCTTTTCACTAACATATAACACGATTATATAATATATGTGTAATTGTGTGAATATATACGAGTACACATATAGAAATATAGTGTATGTGTATGTGTGCGCGCGTGTGACAATGTGTTCATATATATATATATACATATATATATGCGCGGAAGTAATAGGTAATAATATGTATACATATATATATAAGAAGAACATATGTGCAACGCGAGTAATAATAATATGTATGCTTGGGGTGCGGCGGTAAGTATAACAACATGCCGGGAACGTGCGCGTAGTGCGACCGACCCGTGGAAAAAGAGAGAAATAGATATGTGCGTGAAGAGCGGCGGCCTTACGGATGGTGGAAGACGTAAGAGAAGAAGGTTCAGCCGGAGCAACGGTAGGTGTTCAGAAAACAGAACAGATCCAGTTGGTCCGACGACGAAGTGCCAAAGCTTGTCCACTTGCTAGGTCCATGATGGTGCAGCGTGATACGTGTGTGCACGGGGTGGCTTTGTGACACACGGTTGCAACTCGGAAATGCGCGTCGTGTGTATTGTTGTGATGTCCGAAAGATGACGTTCGCTAATTTGATGAAAGCTCGTCGAGGAGCAGCAAGGTGTTCGTGTGTCGAGATCGGTAAAACGCGGCTCGTGCCGAGCTTCCTTTATCATTAGTCTCGCGATGAACAGTAATTGACTAAATTTTACCCGGTTGTAGCGGGTCGAGACGGGGGGAAAAATGACTCGAGGCCGCGGATCACGTGTGGCCGAAATCTCAGTGCTGTCCTCTTACAATCTTATCCATCTGTCTTCCGGATCGCGCTTTATCGGCTCGTGGTGTACGCAAGTACGACCAATCGACCGTTCTGTGTGTATTCCAAGTATCTGACAATCATATCACTATCGCCAAAGGTGCCTCGATCATGCTCCGAGACTGGACGAAGCTTTGGGAAGAAGACGTTGAGCGCGTTTGAGGATCGTTCGAGACCGGTAAGTGACTGTGGTGGGTTGCCGCCGTCGCCGAGCCGAGATCGCTGGGGTCTTAAAACGTCTACCACTTGCCAATGGGCGCGGGGATGACAGCTCCGTGAGAACCGAGTCCAGCCTGGATGGCACCAGACGGTCCGTTGATCACAGCAATTCCGGCATCATGGCCACCAAGGGCACCACCTCCGAGTCCAGCACCACCTCCGATGACAGCGATTCCAGCACCACCAAGACCGCCGCCAAGGCCAAATCCAGCACCTTTTGAAGAAAATATCGTTAACAGGAGGCTCAAATACTTAGTGAGCGTAAAAAAAATGAGGGAATACCTTAAAATTAGAAATGTTTAAAACATGTAATTTGTTTATTTGATAAAAAATATGTATTTACCTCCGAGTCCACCACCGGGCGCGGCGGCAGCAGCAACTCCAGAGCTTCCATCATCACCGTTGATGCCACCAGATCCGGCAAAGAAGGCAACACCTCCGTAGCTGGGTCCAACGAGGTTAGCGGTAGCCTGGGATGGTCCTACGAGGGTAGCGGTTCCCTGGGACGGTCCAACGAGGGTGGATGGGCCGGCAGCGGGTCCTACAAGACTGGCGGGTCCAGTGCGAGGTCCACCAACGGACTTGGCTCCCTCTTGGGGTCCTACGAGATCAGATGGTCCGGTCTGGGGTCCTACGTTGGCCTTGGGTCCCTCAGCGGGTCCAATGTCAGACCTGCCACCAATGACTCCTGCGGGAAGAGCGAGCGATTGTTCAACATCAATATGTCCTGCGTTGTTGAGCTAATAAAGAGTTTAGATTTGGTACGTAGATACGCACCACCAGAGACGATCTGCTGAACTCCAGCAGCACCAGCCGCCGCCGCCGCACCAGCAGCATAGCTGGCACCAAGACCACCAGATCCCAAGCTGGAGGCACCACCCTGGAGGGAGGTAGCGGTTCCAGCACCAGCGGCGAGTCCACCAGTCAGACCGGCACCACCACGGAGTCCGTGTCCAGTGATGGCCAAACCGGCACCACCATAGCCACCATAGCCACCATAACCACCATAGCCGCCGCCTAATCCGCCGTGCGCAATTCCAGCGCGGGCCGTCGCGACCGCTAAGCAGGCGAACACAATCTAAAAGAAACACGCGACGTCACTCAACGTGACTAAGTTGGCAGCGAAGACGCACAATAATAATCCGATACTCAACCGAGTCTGTTAAAATCGCTGAAAGCTTTAAATGATGAATATTGCGTGAGCTCGAGTTTACGGAAGCGGTTTACGTGTGCACGTCGTTGGGGCTATCGCTGTTACGAATCTAGATTTCCATTGGCTTGGCGCCGATTACCGGGTCTGACTACTGCTAGATCTGTGCAATATAATCGCGGCTTTCACTTTCAATTTCCGTGAACGTCGGAACGTTCGCGACTCCAAAACGACGGAAACAATCTTGCGCGCGAGAGGTTTCTAGATCGCCGAGATGATCTCGAAATCTAGTTGGATTGGTGCTGTTTTATTGCGAAGGCGGAGCGATTACGCGAATGAAAATGCAATAAGAAAGCGCCCGAATGCATCGACGGGAAAATCGACGAGATCAGATACCTGTAACTACACGCCGTAACGTTTCGTAATCAACTTGATAGCGCCCCTATCCTTTGCGTTGGTTATTCTGGTCACCATTCCTGATGACCGTATTAGGAAAATTCTTTTAGACCCGTTAATAGGCCGTTGCACACGTAACGCGTATCGTTGGACCGTAAAAAAAAAAGTAGTTGCGATTGCATAAAATCCGCGCGAACGACTAAACATGAGATATTGCACGAGATTCGTAATTAACCGATAATCGATCGTATTCATTACGCGAGTTTGCGTATCTGAAGTCGACATTCGCAATTCAAATTAGGGAATTTAATTTTTCATAATTAAGAGAAATCTGTGGTTTAATTTAATTGGATCTCAGTTCTTAGAATTCGAATTTTCAGAGATTAAAAAGACAAATCTCAACAAGTTACGTCACGTGGCGTTCAAAGTCGTAACGCTTGCGGCTCGTAATACGGGAAGCGGCGTTTAGAAAGGAAGTGTTTCGCGCGATCGTAGAACCGTCGAGCAATCGGCTGATTAGATATATTGGTGTATACGTAACTGATATTTCGCGATCGCGTGCGAGCGGTATTAGACGGCGCGTGTGTCACGCCCGGTTTGAGACTGTTGCAAACTTAAATGGCATCGCGGCCTGGAATTATGCATATCTAACGACTACGCGAAACTTTCACATCCCGTTTACGCGGAACGAACGACTATCCCGCGGCCGCGCTCGTGTGACGTGGTCGACCGAGCGTTCCCGCGACCTCGCGATCGGAAAAGGATCGAACATGCCGATTTCAAAATTGCCTTGCGCGATTGAGCGCCGAGTATATTTCCATCGGCCCTGAGAAATTGCAAAGGCATTCCGAAGTCTGGCGCAACGATTAAGATATCGTTATCGACGATATTATTGATAATATAGGTAATTAACGTTACAGTTATCACGAAACGTCAGTTAATGCGCAATACGTTTGCAGGACGGTACGAGGCAGAACATAATTCCGGTGTTATCCTGATTCAATGGATATTTTGTACGTGAAATGACGGAGAAAGTCAAAAGAAATGCAACTGCAGAGGATGCAAGAGTGACGGCAAGGTATGTACAATCCCGAGAACGTGAGATTCGTGAATGAAGATGCGTCTACGAGAAATAGAACCGGTCGCGTGTTAATCCGTTCACTCAATGACGATGATGATACTACCTACAACCGGTTTTCGCCGAGAGTCGGCGCGCGATGCGGTAAGATTTCTTTGCTTTATGAATGAAAGTCGTCGGTTCGTCTGTTTGTGCGTCTGTCTGCCTGTGGAGAAAAACAGCGAGAGTATCCCAACCATGACATTGAATCATCGTCGGTTTTATCGCGAACTCAATAAGAAGCGGAGAAACGAAAAAGTATAATGGAGACATTAATAGATGTATTATCGACGTATGTATTTATAAAAGAAAGCTCTTGAGCTTGCAAAACGATCGTATTTACTTTCCGTTTGCAGATATGTCACCGTGTTCAAATGCAATCTTGCATTAACCTAGTTTCTTGTTTGGTTTCAATTAAGAAGCGCCAGAACGAAACATTACGGAAATAAGCGCTTACAGAGATAAACTTTCGCAGTGATTACGGCAGAATAAGAAAGGGCAGAATTTTATGAGTAATTTCATTAAGGACTCGATGTTATTCAAGAATCGTTCAAAGAGCTTTCAGATCAACACTGTTTATTCACGGCGAAGAAGATAAGTATCCAATCAAGAAACTATGATAATTTCGAAAGAACGCGTGATTTTGAAAATAAATGAATAGTCAAAGCAACAAAATCGCGAGGAAAGATAGAATAAAAGTAGCAGAATTCAATAAAATCTAATCGAAGGGCGCGAGAAGTACCGCGGCTACGAGTTAAACACCTCGCGAACACCTCACCAACCCTCGTTGCGGAATACTCACAAAGGCCTTCATGTTTGGTGTGTGTATTGGGCTGGTAGTCCGGTGAATGACTGACTTGGGCCGGGCCGGCCGGCCTTATATACGCCTAACTCTACTCTGGACACGCTCCACAATCACTATCCTTTCGAAAGCAAGCAAGGCGCTCCACCACCCTCCCTCCAGAAAAACTGTAATCCACGTACCGCGTACCAAGCGGCTGTAATCCGCGGCAGCGGTAGTCCCACCCGGTTCAGGGGGCGAAGGGGAGTCCCCCCTTTATGGTACGGCGATAGATAGAAGTTGCTCGTTGTGGGTTATATTCGTGGTGACTATGTCCACGTTTAACAGCCACAGCCTCCTACTCCTCCTGCCCCACCAGCGACGGTGCTAGCCTACACACTCGGCTTCTACGCGACGGGCCACGCCAAGTGCAACCGAGCACCACCCGGGTTACCTGGTCACCTACGATACAACTCTCTTTCTCGCAGGCGTGGTGCTCGGCATACACGAGCGTTGCACAGCTCTCACGGCTAACATTGACGGCGGAGTCCTTTCCGGTTACGGTAGACGGCGCAGGTGCAGTGCCGATAGCAGCAGAATGGTAGCACAGAGTGATCATCACTTTAATTAATTGGGCAACCATCGACAGTGATAAATCGTTGTTTTGCGATTGCGGAATGGACTCACGTAGGCTTTTAGATAATGGAGCAAGTATTCTTCGTCGGTAAAGTTTCGAGGAGTTTCATGAGAGGTTATAGTGTTCAAGAAAATCAATTGAATATTAGAGTGACTTTATTTATCATCATGACAAATATAACGAAAAAAATGACAAATAAGTATTACCGAAAATGTATGAAAAAATCAAAAACTGCAAGTTTAAATATTTTTCTTCCTGACAACTTTTGGTCCAAGCAAATTTTTTTTCTAAAACGATGTAATAGTTACTACATACACACACATACACACACACATACACTATTGTTAACTGATTAATAACTGATAAAAATTTTGACAGCATTGTATGATAAATTAATATAGTTTGAAGTTATTAAACCATTATTATTTTTGTCACAACTTTCAATGCTGAAGAAATCTGAAGAGGCGATTTGATGAAGAGTCACGATCGTTGAAAATGACATCCTGACCTCGAGATCAAGACACGGATCTTCGGCTAATTAATAACGCCGCATAATGTTCTTATTTCAATAGTCTTAACTTTAAGATAGGTCGACTTTGATTTTTTATATTTATTTGAATGATTTTTTGTAAGATGGGAAAAAGTAGAACCCAACAATGTCCGAATAACCGAAAGTTATTACTATTCATGAAAACCACTATCCATGCAATGTCCGAGAAATAGAAATGATAACTCTGAAGTTTACATTCGGACACGAGAGCCTGCCACACGAAAAGTTCGTCCTGTCTGAAAAAAAGAGGAAAGGAGATCCAAAAATGGTGAAGCACGATCCCGATTACTGACCGTTCGTTATGTTAGGAAACGAGGCATTCGTATCGAACAGGAATTTCACGTTTGGCGCAAATGCTAAATCGTTCTAAAGAGTTAGAATTACGGGTCGCTGAATGGCCTTAAGAAAGAAAAAAAGACAGAAAGACCTGAATTCTTTTCTAAATAGATTGCCTGCCGCTCGTTACTTATTACCTCAACCTACTAATTCCAAGTGCTATAGTACATTATGCTGGAAATAAAATCGTAAAACGTAAGAAATGGATGAGTTGTCTGTTTGAATTCGTGAACGATTTGAATTATGATCATCGTTTGTCTAGGATGATACTCGACAATTCGTAAATTTGATCATTTTCGAATTGCATTATCTATTATCTCAAGGAGTTTATAAATGCTGTATTATAGTTAATCTTTTATTTATTTAGCACTGAGGCATACATAAAAGTATTATTCAAAGTATTAATTGTAATAATCTACATAATATATCGCTTATATTTTATAAAAAGATAGAAATGCGCAATTATAAGAAAGTTGAATAAGTAAAGAATGGGATAAAAATCTATGCATGCATTATAAGCATTTAAAAAATTGTTTACATTTAATCCGAGAGTAGTTACCTCATTGTTTTTTAAGTAAACGATCACTTAGAATGTTTCTATGCCCCAATTAAAATCACTATATTAACAACATATTGTATATTATTAACTATATTCCAATTTATTGAACATTATGGATTTAATCATAATATTCTAAAAAGAGCAAGAAACTGAACAAATATTGAATGGAACCAGCAACTTATTACATAGCTTATTATGACAGTAGATTTCTAAAAAACAAATTTTAATTCATCTAATACTTTTATTGCGGGTTTTCGAGAGAATTGTATATTTAGAGGGTCCTAAAAAATAATTATTAAACAAAAACATGTTAAACAATATCCATATACAACAATATTTTACAACAATTCACATTTTCTCGTCGGTGGGGTATAAAAACATCCCATTGGACTATTCCCGAACTAAACGTAGTCGGGAACAAGCAATCTGTCTGCGTATATGTTATGTTAGATTTCTTTAAAGATTATTACACATACATATGTTCTACATACATTTCCTATATACTTTCTTTTTTTAGCATACGCTTTTCATAATCCGTATATACGTAACAATGTAAGCTGCAGCGATGAGCAATTGCTAATCTCAACCTTAAAGGTATTGAAGTGCAGCGCGCCGAAACGCGGCTAATTGCATCCGATTCATTATTTTTTTGTTTTCGAATGTGATGTCCCGCTTATTATACGAGCCGCGACTTCTGCGGCACGCGAAGTGAAAGCTATTATATTATTTGGCTCCCGCGAAAAATGTCGAGCTATCGCGAAAGTCGCCCGCGCAATCTTTTCTCGTTCGACACTCTTGACCGGTTTCGAATATATAAATTCAATGCATGGTAACCGCGTTTGGCTCTTGTTGGTCTCACCCTCCAACGAGTCGACTTCGATAACATTTCGCGCGCGCATTAATTGCCTCATTAGCCGATTAATCGAGCAATTATCTAATCGATGGCGAGTCTTATCTCGCGCAGTGACCCGACGTATTTCGTTCGTAACGATCGAAAAAACAGATCCGTAATTATCGTCCAATTATCCGCGATCAATTGATCCTATCGATCTCACTCGTAATTTCGTTGAATATAAAGCAATTATTAATCGTTGTCTCGTTTTGAATGCGATATTCCTGCGGTTTGATTCCAATCATGCTTCACGATCTCGACTTTTACATGCTTTTGCTATCGGAGTTGGAATCCAGAATCCAGTTCCGCGACCGTTCTGAATTATTAAGTGATTTTCACGGATCGATAGAGTATCGATTGGCTCGCGTGGTCAATATTCAGGGATACGCTTCTGTGATAAAACGACTTTCTCGGCGACGTGCAGATCCGATATACCCGTGAATCGAATCGAAATGGAGACGCCGAGATTTAGTCCGTTTCAATGGTGATACGCGACATAAAATTACCTGGTTATAAGAAATTAATTTATCGTTTATTTTATTTATATCGATTATTTCATCATTTATTTGTGTCCGTTTGAGTTAACAAATCAGAGATAATTATAAATTTTTAATCATAAATTTACGAATTGTTGATTATTTATTACATAATAATCAATTATAATAATTTTCAAGGTATTATTTATGCATGTAACATTTTAGTTCAAATTACTTAGAAACTAAAAAATTCTTATAAAATGTATTAAACATAATGCGCAACAACAGATTTTAAAGTAATGTATAGTCTTTAATTTTTGTTTTTCTCTAATTTAGCATTTAGTCTTTAACTTTTTTTCTAATTTTTCTTTATTCTCTTCATATCACTATTTCATTCTTCCCATCAAATCGACAGAGTAAACACGAATTTTAAATGAATAATCCTAAATAAATTTACTTTCTGTTAATATTTCCTTTACGTAAATAATTGTACAAAGTTAATTACACACACACAGCTCATTCCCTCAGCTATATTATGTGTTTATTTATTCAAATCAAGATTTGCAATATCACGAGCGATGCATTTGCCGTATATGTCGATTTATGTATTCTACCCCTACATATCCAGCTCTGCCAGTTCAATTTTCGCGAAGAATACCCCCTCGCCTAAGGTGATGACTCGCGCACACGTTGCTCCTCGCGCACGGCTTTCAGGCCTCCTGCAACATTGCATTTGCAAAGCGACGTCGCGACTTTGCTACCATCGTCGCTCTTTTACTCCAATTTTTACGTAACACGAGAATGTGAAATTGGAGAAATTTTATTCATGAAACAAAGCGCGCGGTGCGCGTGGATACAAGATCCATAAGAAAACTTCCTTCCATGTAATGTGATGGTGCAGCGCTCGGGCGTGTTGCCGCTAACTGTAAACAAGGACGGCTCATCGGTGAGCGCACAAAAACAATTGTGCATACACGCTATATTCGGATCGCTTGTTTAGCGTATCGGAAAATCGCTGTATCACTTTGCTTACAACAGCGCTCACAGATGCTGCAACAGCGTATCGCACAATTGTTAATCGAATAGATTTAACTTTGTATGCTCTCTTGCGATTTGGCTACATTTAAAAAAACAAAAAGAAAGTAAATTGTGTCCTTACATATTGGAACAAATTATTTTCACAGTAAATTTTACAGTAAATTTAGTAGAATTCATAGGTGCAGAGTTCACGACAATAATCGCCAATCGTTTTCAGGTCCAATTGACTAAGTGGATTCAGCACGAGTCCAGTTACACTGATGAATCCATTAATTGATTCGAATTAATAACGCGCCGAGGATCAAGATTAACCTAATTCCGCTCTTAGATTTAAACGCGCGCGTTGAATTTTCATCTCGATG